TCGGAAGAAATTAAAATCCAGTCAATAATAACTCAAGTTAATTCTCAAGCTTACAATTCCAAAAGACTATCATAAAACAAAAATATGTATAGTAAATCTAAATCATACAACACTGCATACAGCATAAGCCTGTTTCTGCAAAAAACATTCTACACGTGGGTTTAAATGGCCCTTACTGTTTCAGAACAACACGTCATACGTAAACATCTGCCAACAGTGTAGTTGGGTAGAGAGATTACAAATGACATTTACTTCTCTCATTCAAGTTTGGGGAACTTACAAATTTTAAAAGTGAATTTTTTTTTACTTTTATTGAATAATAGTAAAAAAAACACCCAATTAACGTCACTAAAAATACAAAGAATTACAGAATCAGTAACGTAATAAGAACATGGGGCGTTTGCAGGGCATAGACTCGCAGCTGGCACTTTCTCAAGACACAGTTCCAAGTCCAAGAACAAAAACCATGGCATCGCCCTCAGAGGAAGAGCCAGGAGTGGCAGCCCAGGTACAGGATGCGTGGACAGTAGCCTGACCTGCAGGACGGGAAGCCTTCACAGGGACAGCGAAGCAGAAGGGTACCCTACCCAATGGTGCCACACACCTGGATGACAACACAAACGGAAGGAAGACACAGCTGTGCTCGGGGTGAGACCTGTCACGGGCACCAGAGTGAGGCAGGGAACTCAGCTGGAGGATGCTGCCCCGGGGACTGGAATGCTTTTAGCTTGAAAAGCAGGAACCAGTACAAATATGGACAGTGAATTCACAGAAACGGAGAAATTCACAGAGAAGAAAACTTCAGACATCACGGTCGTCAACATGCTCAGAGAGGCGAGACAAAACGCTGCAGCGATGACGTGAGAATGGCTTGCCATGGCAAAGGGCATCCGGTGGCAAAACACTCACTGGAAGGAGAGGCAGGTAAACCTGAAGGAAGGAGAGAGAAACCAAAGACCAGACGTGTAAAATGACAGAAAGAAACATCAGACGACAATCCGAGAGGCCTCGTGTCTGAAACACAGGGCTTCCAAGAAGAGAGAGAGCACGGGGGAGGCAGCTGCCGTGAAATGAGCCGATGGGATGATTAGCGTCAGGGTTGCGTCAAGGACCCAGGAAGGGTGAGCAGAGGTGTGCGAGGTGGTCTGAGGGCTACAGAGGAAACGAGGTGGGCCATGTGCTGCTAACTATTAAAGGTGGGTGATAGATACTATTCTATTTGTCTTTTAACTTTTCATAACAAAAGTTTTTAAAATATCAGAGAAAATTTCTTTGCACTGAAGGACACAAATTTCTAGGTTAAAAGGCTCATCATGTACCCAGCCAAGAAATAAAATTAGACTCACACCAAAACACATTGCTGTAAAATTTCAGAACGTGGGGAAAAAACGAAAGACACTACCGGCTTCCAGAGAGAAAAACGTGGGGCACGTGCCAAGAATCGCAAATCGTAACAGCTTCTAACATCTCAACAGCAACACGAGAAGCTAGAAATCAATGAAACAATACTTTCCAAAATTGGAAGTGAGGGAAAATCACTTCCAACCTAGGTTTCTGTACCCAACCCAACTACCTAGCAAATGTGAGGGCTGAACAAGGGGCCATGAAAGTTTGCCTCCTGTCCACCCTTTCTTAAGAAGATTCAATAGGATGTGTTCCACCAAAACTAAGGAGTAAATCAAGACAGGATGATCTAGAGTACAGAAAAAAGACAGGTCAGCATAGGTCAGGGCAAGATGTTCCCAGGTGCTGTCAAAGGAAGATGCTAGGGCGAAAGCTGGCAATCCGGACCGCAGCAGGTCGGAGGCTCTGTAAGAGATTTCTCCACGATGCAACTGCTAGAATGCTTGATTCTGAATGACAGGACACCTAGACAACTGGCGGAGTTTGAAGCTGAATCATGATATATACGAGAAAAACTAAGAAGACAAAGATAATTACAAACTCCAGAGAAAACAGAAGGCAAAGTAACTGGATTCCTAATGGTCGACTCCGAATAGTGTTCATATAGCCTTAAAAACAAACAGTAAATGCTGAATTTTTAAAAACTATTATATGAAGGACGGCTATTTGTTGTTGGTGGAAGAAAGCGAGATCGTCATCCTGCACAGCAAAAGTCAATTGCTGTTGCCTAAAACAGAAAAAACGATAAGCAGCAAAAAAAAAATGCTATTTAGAGAATGGAAAGAAATATCAAAAAATCAATTAAGAGTTGAAAATAGTTGCCCCCAGAGAGAAAGAAGTAGCTGGGAGGGGTGAGGAGTAGCTGTTTTTCTGAAGAAATGTTGTAGAATTATATGGTTCTTTTATCTATATCCATATTTAACTTTGACAAAACACTTTTTTAAGACTAGAGATAAATGTCAAAAAATTAACCAGCTATACCATGCAAAAATACACACACACACACACACACACACACACACACACACACACAGCTGGCATCAGTATCAGACAAAACAAAGTAAAAAGACGAAGAGACATTACATGATAATGAATGAAAAAATACCCAGCAAGAAGGTTACAGTTTGAAGTTACATTTTAACAATCGTGAACTTGTTTGCAATTAACGATGTAGCCCTCAAAAGAGAAATCTGACAGAATTACAAGGAGCAACTGACAAAACCACAACCACCTCCATAATAAACTGATCACTGGAAGAGCACACGATTTTACAGATTCTACATTTCAGTTTACAGGATGTACAGTTTTTGAGTGTGGAATGTTACAAAGGCTGAGCATAGACCAGGTCCAAGGGGAAGTCGTAAGAGATACAAAAAAACCCGTAAACAAATCATGTTCTTTGAAAACAATGCAATTAAATTAGAAACAATAAAGAAGTTCAGGAGCAAACACCTATATATTCGGAAATTTTTAGAATTCACTTAAAACTAACTTATAAATTATGAGACAATCAACAAAGATAGCAAATTATTCAGAACTGAATACTGAAACTTTTGGAAGGCAGCTAAAGTGATACTTAGAGATAAAACTTATTAAGATATGCTTGTATTAAAACACAAGAAAGGTTTTATAACAACGAGTTAAATAACCAGTTGAAGAAGTTATAAGTTATAAAAAGAACAACAGAGTAAACCCAACAAAAATAAAAAGGAAACCATATAGATAATTTTAAAAAGGCAGGGTTGACAATATCAAAAAGTAGCCACGTGGTAAAATTAATAAAATGCACTAAAACGAACAAATCTTTAATAAGAGGGAGCTGCAAAATAAGGCAAAATCAACACCAGCAGGAAAAAAAAATAATTTTTTGAAAAAGGGAAAGTATAGATGGGCGGGGAGACTTTAAAAAACAGACTAGAATATGATGGAACAATGTTACACCGATAAATTTGAAAACTTAGATGAAATGGGCAGTTTTCTAGAAAACTGTTAAAAACACTAACTCAGGAAGAAATAAACCTGTCTAAAGCAATAACCATCTAGGAAACTCAATCAGCAGCTGAAGGTCTCCGCCTCCACGAAAGGCACCAGGAAGATGACTTTTCAGCTGAGTTTTGCCAGACCTTAGGCCACACGGTCTGTTACACAAACTGTTTCAGCGGGCAGGAGAGAGAAGGCCACCCAGTTCATTCCCTGAGGCGCTAAAATCGGACGCCAAAGCCGCAAGATGAATACGAGAGAGACAGACGCCAAGCCCGAAGTGAAACATCAGTAAACCAAATGTAGCAGCGATGTGGAACAAGTCGGTGCCACGCAGGGGTGCCCTAGGAAGGCAAGGCCAGTGGGGATCTGTCAGTGTGATCTGTCTGTCACACAAGAGTACAGGACAGCAGAGTCCCCCGAGAGGTGCAGAAACACTGATTCATGCTGAAAGTCCCGAGCAAACTCAGACAGAGAACATTTTCTTAATGCGGTAAAGAACAGCTGTATAAAAACTACAGCAAACGGCATTGATGGTAAACTTCAGAAGCATTCCTGTCTTAGTCAGGAACAAGACCAGATGCCAGCTTATCACTCTCCTATAATTCCGCATTATGCCAAAGGTCCTACCCAGTGTGAGACAAGAGGCGTAAAGACTGGAAAGGAGACAAACTGCCATTCTTGTAGGCGACGTGATTATCTGCACAGAAAATCTCCTAACCAGCCACCACCACGAAGTCCAGCAGTCACTGCACATGAGGACCCAAAAACCAACAAAATATTCAACAGAAAATAATACGCTGTTTACAACAGCAAAACACCCCTAAGTGTATAGTAAATCTAACTAGAAATTTGTAAGATCTGCATAAAGAAAAATCACAAAGCCCTTCTAAAGGACTTGAATAAATAAAGATGCATTATATTCCTGGAAGGAAAAACTCATTATCACAATGAAGTCAACTATCCTTAAATTAATCTCTATCAATGAAATTCCACTCAAAATTCTCGGACTTTTCATGGAGATATACCCAAAGATGTTCACTGAAGCTCTGAAAGAAGAATTAGAAATCACCTAGGAGTCCGACGACAGAGGACGAGTGAGTCGGTCACAGAGCACGCAGCCCCACCGCGTGACTTCTGTAGCACCTGTGACCTGCACGCTGGGGCAGTGCACAAGGCAGCTGGCAGTCACACGACAGAAGTCTGCACAGCAGTCAAATAAACGGACCAGAGCACACGGAGGACAGGACAGGTGACAGTGTCAATCGCAGAAAGACACACTGTATCAATTCCACTTTAAAAACACACGAAACCACACTGTGATGTGTGTACACAATGTATAGCTGCAAACACATGTAAGAAAATAGAGGGAAAAATCACACATCCGCTTCGGGATCCGGTCTCCTTGGAGAGGACGAAGGGGAGGGGGTCAGAGAGCTGGACTGAGAGGCTCAACTCTTCTGTATACTTCACTTCGGGGCAAAAAAAGCAAAATATTAACGTGGGTGAGACACACGGGTGTTTTGTTAACTGGCCTCTGTACTTCTGGAATACTGTATATCAAAAATCAATAAAAATAGGGATCTCAAAGATGGTCTTATTCTAAGACAAAAATGCTGATTTTCTCCTCTTTTTCTTCCTTCTTACAGGTCCCATCACTTTATGAGTGCCACTGAAAGACAGGACTTATCGTTTTCTACTTCTCTCAAGGTGACCTCCTGCAATCCAGCCAGCTCTCTGCTCCTGAAGGTGTCCCAGGGTGCTGGGTGGG